GTATTAATCGTTTCGTTGCATTTTTAGTCTTTCGATCATTGAAAGATTTTGATTCACAAGATAGCATTTTAAAATAAAATCCATTTAAGATATTAACCTTATCAAGATGTCTGACATTTATAAGCGATTAATTAATTAATCAGACCTCTCGATTGGTAACTATCGATCGGATTGCAAACTGGTGAAAGGACATCTCTTCGTATTGATTGACAATTAGTAGCTATCATCGAACGATTCGATTACGACTATAATACTCCTGTCTTTCAAATTTTCAAATCCATCGTAATGTTCGTCATTATAATCGTTAATCATTGTCATTACATCCGATAATTGCAAAAAAATTTTTTCACAAAATAAACGAATCAGAATGTAGAATTCTACTTAAAGATTTTCTTCCTCGTCTTAGAATATTTTTTTCATTGCAGGTAACCTTGAAAGATATGGAGGACCATAAAGTGATGACTCATCCAAATGTCTGGTGTTCGCATTTCGAGTTCTCCGGTGATCAAAGAGAACTGTATAAACATTTGTTTCTACCAGGAAAGGATATGCCTACAGCAAAAGCAAGAACGGCTATTTTACCAGAAAAGGTGTGCACCAAGTGTTCAAAGAACTGTACGACTTTACCAGAGTTGCATAGGCACATGTTGGAGTGTGGAGGAGATCAAGCTTGGTTATTAGGACTGTTTGGCAATGGAAAGAAAAAGTGCAAATGGAGACCGTTTGGAAGTCGTAGTAGAAGACGAAGGCAGCGTGGTATGAAGAGAAACATCCAAAATTCTCAAACTCCAAGAGTGAATACTCCTAAAGAAAAACAACCCACGGGGCCGAGGGTTAGACCCAGTGATAGTGAGTGATTCTTTCTGTATATTGCATTCTTATATATATATATATATATTCTACAATTTTTTCATAAAAATGCTTACCTTTAATTTCTTTAATTAACCAAAAGTTAATAGTATATTTTTAATGGGCAATGTTATTAATTTTATTACATGGAAAAATTCAGGGAGAAATTAAGAGAGATTCTAAACTCTACTTCAATTTTAATTTTGCTTTTTATTAAAACTTGTTTTATAACAAAAAAATACAACATATGCGGAAGCTAATAAAAAACGAACATAAATAGGAACACAAAAAGAATTTGTTAATCAAGTCAGAAAAGCGTTTAATTACTGCATTAATTCGAACTTTGTTTCATTTAATTGAAATTTACTTATCCGGTGTTTTCTTTCTGCTATAGAATAATTACCATCACGACAAGACATATTATAACTTGAAACTTATTAAATATTAATAACCATTAACATACTTGTATTAATTATATTTTGTTTGTATTCTTATGTAAGTTGTTTCAAACTGTGCATTAAAAACATGATAGCTCTTCTATAAATAAATATTAAATGAATATTTAATAAACTATTGAAGTATAATATAGCTTTTGTGATATATCCTTTTGTACATGTGAATAATTTCAATAATTCATTGTTAATAAAACTTTTTCTTTTTCTTCTTTTTCACGTGATATTATAACAATGTTTTTATTTTATTTTAAAAATTTTTAATAATTTTATATTAATAACTCGTCTGTTTTTATCTCTGTTCACAGGGGAAAGCATACAAAAGATGTTGGCCAACTTACCTCCCAAAAGGGCTACTAGAAAAGTATTGCAAGACAATACATTGAAGACACAGGGTAGACTACGTACTGTAAGTATTGAATATCATTTAAACAATTTAATTAGCTTTGTCCTAGATTGTCAGTTTCAGTGTTTCATTTGTGTTTCAACATTTGTGAAATAACACCAAAATTACTATCCAAGTGCTATATTGATACTAAGCAGAATTAACTAATACAAACAATGAAATAATACATACTAAAAAGTTTCATTAAAACAATTACATAATAAATAGCATTTTTTCTATTAAAGTAGCATTAATTCTATTAAAAGAAATTCTACGATACTCATAGAGTTATTTTTTTTTTTTTCTGATTTCAAATTCTCATTATATTTAATATTACGATTTAATTATAAAAGAATATTATCCAACTACACGATACATGAAATACGACAAAAAATATTTTCTTTTATCTGCAACTTTTAACTTAAAGTTGCAAACTTATACCATTTTTCTCGTTCAAAAAATTTCCAAAGTGCAAGTATACATCTTAATAATGTTAAGAACGTAAAACATAAGAGTATTCACTGATTTAGAAAAGTATTATTATGTAGAGAGTTTTTTTTAAGCTATAAAAAAATTTATAAAAGTACTATTAATTGAGATATAACCCGATGCCAACGAATGAACCGCATGATGACTTAAAACATGCACAACATTTGGCAGTTGATTGAAATTAGACGAAAGAGCGACTCGCAAACAACTTCGGTTAGTGAATGACCTGAATCCTAACTATGTACGAAAAAGATGAAACTCAATAATGACAAGGCAATAACACAGACCGGCTCCGGCTGGACGACACAGATATAAGTGGAGTATTGATTATACAACACAGCTTGTCCGCACGTGCACGTATGTCCAATACTTACAGTGCAGTGGATCAGATGCACACAGTAGAAAGGATACGTCCACGTAATCACGGTGTATAAGATAGTTTTTACTCTGATTCCAATTGATTCGTGGAAAATTAGAAAATCTTTTCCTCAGGATAAATATTTTAAATCAGAGTTATAGAGTTTTATCTTTAGCTTAAGGCATTATTGATCATACATACATGAGATGCTTTTTGATCTTTTGAAGAACCGGCACACTGAATTGATCCATTGATAAACTAAGTTTCTCCAAGTTTTCGTCGATGCAAACATTTGAATGTTTGAACTGTCTGGTTCCAATCAGGGAAAATCAGGAAATTTAGAAATTTTTGATGGTTTTTTTCCTATTTTCTTGTGATTTTCATTTTCAACGATCGAATAAAAACAATTTTCCAGAATTGTTACCCCCTCAAGTGTATTTTTTAGGAAAATTGGAGAATCTTTCCAATTGATTCTTCCTCGAAGAATTTTGTTAAAAAATTGATTTCAAATAACAGCGCGATTTCCAGAGAGTTAAACAATTTTACGAAGCAATCCCAGATTACATTACTCGACGATGTACATTTCTCATTCCTTAACCCTTTCGCTGCTACGAGCGACTATAGTCGTTCTGCACAAGATGGAATTATTGCGCATCGAGTGTCTTTCTTTTCTTATCTTTTTTTTCTTCTTCAATAAAGTCCGTCAAAGCAACTCGGATCGCGGCACATCTCTGGCGCGGCGGAGAAGTCGGCTTAACCCTATCAATAATTTTTACAATAAAAATCTTCTTTCTGCGTACGATATAAAAATAAAATTACACGCAGACTGCATACCTCTTATACAAGACCAAATAGTCGGGTTTACCAGAGAGGTTTATCTAGGTAGCTCTCTAGTTTCCACCAAAAACTAGTTGCCCAGTCAAAGAGCACATGCACGCACACGCACACAGTAGCACGAAGGTTTTACCTGTCTGTACAGGCGCAAACCGGGAGAACGAGGCCGCGAATGGTCGGCGACAATTCAACCGCCTCCCGCATGTCCCGGAACAAGGCCGTCCTGAGGAACAAGCTGCTGAAGAACGCGAAGTCGATCCAACGGAATCGTTGCCGCATCGACAACATCTCGGCCGTTATCGAGAGCGTGGTGAGAAATTACACGCCCGACGAGAGGAAGTGCGACAAGATCGGCGAGGTCGGGGAGGAGGCCGAGAAGAGGGAAACCAAAGAGAGGGAGTCGATGTTCGGGGGTGATTCGTGTGTTCACAACAATTTCTCGGACGAGGGAAGGAACGGGAGAGGGAAAGTGGCGAGGGGGCCCAGAGTGTTGGGGAAGAGGAGGAACGTGAGGGCGAAGGAGATGGTGAAAGGTGGTTTGGATCAAGGGAAGAGGGGCAACACGTTGAAGGCGAAAACCAGAGGCGCCCCCTCGAGGAATCTCGCGGAAGCGAAGGGAGAGCCGTGTCCTCTCGGCGAGAGAACCTCCAAAGTCTCTCCCAACAGCGTGGAGAACGAGGCTGAGATGGCAGCCTCCGATGCAGGAGAAGTTGATCCGGCCGAGTCGAAATCTCCTAGCCCGTCGATCAAGGGGAAACCCTCGGTTCAGACGACGCCTAAAAGGAAACGGCCGGTCGACCCCGTTGCCTCGTTGAACGCCTCTATCAAAGCCAAGTCCCAGCTGAGGACCCAGGACGGGAAATTCGCCAGGAATCCCAACAAGGAATTCTTGTCGCCCCTCCACAAGTCCCCCGTGGAGATGAGGTGCCCCGTCTCCGGCCGGCTGATGACGAAGGTGAGAAACAGCGAGATGGAAACGTCTGTCACGAGATCGAAGTTGAGGGAGATTACGTTCAAGGGTAACAAGGATAATAACGAACAGCAACAAGTTTTGGCGGTGCCAAAAAGGATCACCAGGCTGTCATCCGACAGCGATAAGATGCCCACGTTGGAGCCAGCCGTCCAGGCGACCTCCAACGAGGAGTTCTTGGAAACGTCCACCAACGATCTCCCGATCCTTTCTCCGGCCACCCCTGCCACGTCCAGCCAGGAGAAAACGATCGTTCGTGGTAGAGGTGTGGTTGGGCCCAAGAGTTTGAGCTCGGAGGAAGGTCAGAGATTGGAGGAGGGAAGAGGGTGTGAGGCGGGGGATGGCGGTGTTTGTAGCCAAGAGTTGGAGAGGGATCAAAAATCGGTGAAAGGTAGGAAGGCGAAAAATTTGGATAAAAATTTGGAGGGTGGAGGGGGCGATGTTTCGAAGGAGGAGGGGAGAGGGGTTGTTAAGGAGAAGTTGAAGAGGAAAAGCGCTCCCGCAAGGATTCTGAGCGTCGAGGAGAGGAGAGGTGAGAAGAAGAGCGGGGAAGAGGCGAGGAGGGAAGCGAAACAGAGGAGGGAAGAGGGGAAACTGGAAACGAGAAGCAAGACGAAATTGGATAAAGTGTTCGTCGATGACAGTCCAATAAAGATTCAGAACGTTCCCTTCGAGGTGAAGAAGCTGATAGGGTCGGACAGTAAGGAAGATTTGTTGACGAAGTTGGTGTTGACATCGAGAATCGCCACTTCCAAACGTTGCCTCAGACAACCTGTAAAATTTAAATTCGAACAGGAGAAAGGTAAATTTCGTAGGGATTTGGATCTGGAAAGGGCGCAATTGGATTCGGGATCCGTCTCGGACGCCTCCACGAAGAAGGAGAAGTTCGATGCTAGGAGAAAGTCGTTGAGGAAAACGGATAAGAAGGACAGGATTGCGTCGAAAGATGACAAAGTGTTGGAAGAGGTCAACAGAATGAGAGACGCGGTGAACGAGGTGAAGACGGCAGTCAGAGGGCGAAGAAGCAGCAGCCTGTCAAACGAGGGTAAATTATTAGCCAGTTCCTATCAAATGTCCGATGGCCAAACTAAGTCAGAATTCGAAACGGCGGTGGTTCAAAGCGCGGACAAGAGACAGACCAGGGGCTCGTTGTTGAACTCCGCCGAGGGAGAAATTCAAAACGAGCTCGTTCAAGACTTCAGCTCGAAGAAGAACAGTTTTGGAAAAAGACGGGGTAGAATTAAATCTAGCAATCTAGAGATGACCGATAAAAAGAGCGTCGAAGTATCTCAGGCGAAGAATGTGGAAACTGACAAAAGTAATTCCTCCGAGATTATCGATAAAGTTAATTCGGTGGAGCAGGATGAAATGAACTCTGACTGTAAAAAAGATATTGCGACTGAGGAAATTAAAATTGTAAAAAATAAGGAAGAAGTGATGAGTGAAAAAGTGTCCAAGTGTGAGAAAGAGCAATCAAAAGAATCTAATTTATCAGGAAACGGTGAAACGATCAAGGTAAATGAGAATTTAAATTTACAATTGGAAACGAGTAATTCCATGGACAGTGGCAAGGAGAACGCATTGGAAAAGCCTGCACCTGTTCAAAAGTTAAAAGTTGGCAGGCCCAGAAAGTCCTGGGGAGCTAAGAAAGAGAGAGTTTCGAAAAGATCTTTAAATAACGTAATTGGCATTCTTACAGAAGGCATGAACATCCCGGTAGAGACTCAACAAAATGTTTTAAACGTGCAAACGAGTGTGGACAATGTAGAATCTCACGAATCTTTTCAAAGCAACGTTCAACAATCTGCTAACGACGCCGTTAAGTCGCAAAATTTAGATATTAAGTCCTCCAAAAACACTGTTCAAGAACCATTAACTAATTTTGATCAGTTAATTGAGAATACAGAATCTTCCGTTCCACAGAAAGTTCCCGTAGAAAATTCGAAGCAGCCCGAAGTTCCAGAAACTTCCATCAAGGATTTAAACTTGGTTAAATCAATGGAGAATAATCAAAAAGTGGAATCGTTCGCCAAAGATGCGGCAGAACAGTCTCCAACTAATGACATCATTTTGGATTTGTCCAGAAGGAAGCAGAAAGGTAAAGGATCATTCTTAGAGAAAATAGTTTCGAAGATAGCTAAACAGAAAGATGCTTTACTGGAAGGTGAAGTTGGTTCTCTGTTGGACACAGCTGCTGATGAGCTCACTAGTATCTTGGAGGAAGTTGGACCTGTATTCTCAGAAGGTATTGAGAATTCAAGTGAACTGAAAATTAAAAATAAAACGGAGAAAGTTCAAGATAACCGCAACCAAGAAATTATGAAAGAATCGACTAATGAGAATTGTCAGGATATTTCGACACCTGATATTTCTGATAAGAATTTGGAAAATAAGGATGCTAATTCTAAAAGTGAACAAGAGAGGATAAACTTGACCGAGGAGGATTGTGTTAAAAGAAAGAACAACATAGAGATTTGTGACGATGTAGTGGAAGATAGATTTACAAATATTTCCAAACAAGAAGTTGCTGATAAACAGATTAAAACAAAATTGCAAAAAGAAAAACTCGACACTAACGAGACTTATTCGAACGAGAAAATGATTTGCCCTAATGACTTGGAAACTGTCATTCATTCTGATGAAAGCGAAATTCGATTATCCGTTGCCGAAAATGGTTTAGATTCTCAAGCGGAAAGTTCCACAGAGAATTTGTCGAAGCCTGAAGAAGAATCGATGAACGAGGTAAACGAAGAGATAAGGATAAAAAGAAAGTCGAAAAAGAGGGGATTAGATAGGAAATCGCCAAAGAAGAACAAAAGAAAATCCATTGAATCGGCAAGTAATCCCGAAGAGAATTTAATTTCTGAGAATTTGCATTTGACCAATGATGTGATGCAATCAATTGAAAAATCAAAGCAAGTGCCTTCTACCAAAGAAAACGTTAAAAATGACTTAACTACTGAAATTAACACAAATAGAATAGAATGTTACACGAAGAAAACTACAAGTAATATCAAGTCTGAAACAACGGATTCGATGGACAAAAAGGATCTCGAGGATATTGAAATACTTGAAAATTTTTGTGAAAATGATAAGAAACTCAATGTTGATCCCGAAGACAATTTAGAAGAACACGTAACAACAAATAAAGAAGACAAAACAGAAGATTCTGTTGTAACAAAAAATGAAGAAAAGATTCCTCTACCCTCGATAACCGAGGAGAAGAAATCTCACGTGGAAACGTTAGATCATTTCTCGAAAATCGAATTGTCAGCCAGAAGATCTTCCAAGAAATCTCATCAGGAGGAAAAAATAAATGAATTTATCGAAGAGAGAACAGAATCAGAATCGATTGACCCTCCCGTAGAGGAAATAGCGTCCGAGAATGTCAGAGGATCGAAAAGAAGGTCTTTTAGAACAAAATCTACGATTCAATCGCGAAACGAAGAGAGAAGTGAGCGGGAAACTGATACCGATCCTGTCCTAACTGTTAGCAACATTGTACCGACAGAAAATCCTGAAGTGCCTTCGGAAGAGCCGTCTGAAAATTTTGAGATTACGAGAAACGAGGTTCCAAATATCCAAACAACGTTCGTAAGTACCCTAGAAGAAGAAGAACCGACAATAACTCATGATAATTGTAACAACTCGGAGAAAGACGCGAGGACGGACAAAGAAGATATCGTGGAAAGTCAAATTGCGTCGATTGGCGTGAAAGAACCGGAGGAAAGGGTCGAGGTTCCAGTTGTGAAAGTGCCAAAAAAGCGTGGAAGGAAAAAGAAATGTTTGATGACAATTGACAAGTCGCAAGAAAATCCCGATTCGAACAGGCGGAAGGGAGAATTTGAATCGATAAATCAACTTCCCCCTAGGAGATCTTTGAGAACGAACAGGTTCGTCGAGGAGGCCGAGGATCAGAACAAAAATTCCAACGATCTACACGTTTCCAGACCGGGTTTGGAAACGTTCAAAATTCCAGAGGTGACAGAAGTGTTGCAACACACGAAGAAGAGAACGTATAAAAGAAAATCCACCGCTGACGAGAGTCCGGATAATCAAAATAATTCTATTCCGACGGTGGAGACGGTACAAGTTGAGACAAGTGGCGCGGAATGCCCGGAGGTAAGTAAAACGGGTACGGTGGAGGAACAGTCAGAAGCGTCTGATCAGAAAGATCCTTCGCCCGAAGATAGAAAGCTGCACTCGAAAAGCTCGGTTTCGGAACAATCCGATTTAGAAAAATCGAACTCGGCTGGATCCGATCAAACAAGTAAAACGAGATCGTCGAAGAGGAAACAATTATCCTCGGAGGACTTGTTGGGTCAAGAGGGGTTGAATCAGCAAGCCGAAAGCACGGATAATTTGTCAGAGGCATCTTGCACCAGTGATTTCAGTTATTTCAGAAAGAAACGTTTCTCGAAGAAAAAGAAGGAATTGCGGGAGGAAGATGTGCAGACCGACACCTCTATCACGGACTCGGAATCGGAGAAGAATACGGACAGAAGGCAGAGCTTGAAGAGGAGAGCTAAGAAGAATATATCCTTTTTCACCGAATTTTACTTGATGGACGATTTCGACATTCCAATGGATATTCAGGATTGCATAACGCAAGAGGAAGACGCAGCGAAGAAGAAGAACGCCGATCAACAATTGTTAGAATCTAAGTCATCGTCGCCCGCGGGGAATAAATCATCAGTGGAGGAGGTAACTTCGAACGAAAACGTGGATGAAAAATCGGAGGACGAAGTTGGGAAAGAAGATGTAGAGTTGATCGATGATTCCAAGTTGGTCGTAGAGGATGAAGAAGATGAAGAGGACGAAGAGGAGGAGATAAAGGATGAGGAGAAAATGGACGAGAAGTTGAGTAGCATTTGTCAGATGGAAGATGATTTCCAGACACCAAAGAAAAGAGGGGCGGGTAACTACGTGGTAGTCCACAAGAAGACAGGTGAAATTCTGATCGTGGAGAAAAGGAAGAAATTAACAAAGGAGGCCGCCAAGTTCTTTTGTAATGTTTGCACCACTAGTTTCACCAGGAAAAGTTCTCTCAAGAAGCATAACCAGTCTCAATCGCATTTATTGCAAACATCTAAATCGAAAAAAGATAAAACATCCGTGGAGAATGGTGAAAATATAGAAGATCCGTGTAGCACTAGTCAGAACGACACTTCCAGCGATGAAAATAGAAGCGTGACCGATGAGTGTTTGATAAATGTCTCTTTAAAGTCGAAGGATGACCAAAAAGAAGTTGATAAATCTATCATTAACCGAATGGAACTGGATCATGCCCAAGAAAATTCTTGCTTCGCCAATCCTTTGGAACAGGATTCCTTGATATGTTCTCAACCGCATCATCAACACATACTTGAAGACGAACTTTTGGACGAGGAAATCTGTAAGATTACTGAGAACATGAGTCACGATGAGTACGTTATCATGGATCAAATCAGTCCTGAACCAGAATCCACGTCGACGCCAATTAAGATAGAAACCAAGAATGTGGAGGAGATTGGGAAGAAGAGGAAGTACGAAAAGAAGAAGGACAAGGCGAAGAAAAGGAATTCAATCGATGGACAAGAAATCATTTTAGATAGTCCCATTTTAGGAAATCCTACGGATTCAACGTTAGCGTGCGTGCTAGATGCAACAAACGCCAAAATTGTAAATTCTTCCCATTTTGACGCGGCAGAATCTAACGCGAGCGTATTGGAAAATTCACTTAACAATTCCGTTGTGAACAATATGGAATTAGGAGCCAACGTTTCAAGGAACATGGAAAAGAACGATTTTCAAGAACAGTGTTTAGATTGTGTTCCAAAATTGCAAGAGAGCCAGGATGAAGTAGAAATGGAGGATGCACCGTTGAGCGCAGAAGTGAATAAAATGGCGAGCGATGTATATACGAATATAAATTATAAATTAGACCCCAACGATAAGACTGAGAATTTTTCAAATGTTAGGTTAGACGATAGAGATGATACCGAAAAAAATCAGCCGTGCGAGCGTGTAAGTTTAAAATTGACCATAAATAAACGAAGTATAGAAGCTTGTAGGGATATCGATTCTGAAAGTAGCAAGAGTTTCGAATTAAATTATTTGAATACGTTTAATACCGATCTCGACGACGTTGTTAATTGCAATTCAATGAAAAATTACGAAAATTCGCGCAGCGCGGAAGTTGAACCCATCGACGAATCTGATAATTCTAAGACCGAAGTTGGTGAATTTAATCAAGAGTCGAGCGCTAAAAATTTGAAGAAAGGCGGTGGAAAGAATTTGGAAAATTCTGAATTGGACGTTTCCAAAGGTTTCGAGGAAGGAAGTGTAACAAGGAATCATGAATCGTCCATAAGAGACGATAAGCAGAACGAACCCGAGAAAACGGCGCGACACGGAAAATCGAAGAAAGGGAGACCCAGGAAACACGCGCAAGAGAATTGCACGGAGAATGGGTCGAAAATGGAGTCTAAATCTGCCAAATCTAAAATTAATCAAACTAAGTCGTTGTTCGATGATATCGTCAAAATTTCACAAATCACGAATGACAAAAACTCGGCCGAATCTTCGAAAACTTTTGACACCGACGAAAGGTTAAACTGTTCGATATCTTCCAAATCACGAGTGGAAAACAATTGCCTTGATATATTGAAGAATGACGACAAACACGAATCTGATAGATCAGAAATTGCAGAGGGGGCGAAAATCAGGAATCAATTGTGCTCTAAGCCTGAATCATTGGGAGAAGAAACGAGTTTGCAACAGCAACAGGGGATAACGGAGGAGGAAAAACTTTCTGAGAAGAAGAGGAAGAAGATCGAGTCGTTAGAGGACAATCGAGTTAAATCTTTTCGTCCCATGGACGATGATGATGAAGCCTCGTCTTCGTCCAGTCTCGCGGATAAACCGTTGTCGCAAGTCTTGTTAGAAAGGGAAGAGAAATTAGAAATGTACAAGAAACGGATGAACGAACAGGATAAATCTCTCCGCGTAAACTTTCCGCAACGTTCTGACGTCGAATCGAGATCGAAAGAGGAATCGCAAGTCGAGAATATTGATCGTAAAGCAAACGAATGCGACATCGATGATAATTCTTTGGATATCGGCCAGTTAAATGACGATCGAAAGCGTGACGGTAAAAAGAGGTCGTCGACGAATAACGACCAAGGATTCCAGATCGTGTCGGACGAGGAATACGAGCCTGGAACAACGTTGAAAGATTCTGATAAGGATTCGAAAAGTTCGTCAGAATCGGAAAACGAGAGAATTTCGTCGATGGAAAACGACGATAAAGAACTTTACGAGGGGAAAGTGATGAGTAACGGTCGGAAATCGAGCATCGATCATCAAAATTCGAGCAAAAAGGTGTCCAGGGATCACAAACATTCGAACAAGGAGAATCGTAAAAGATCCAGAGGGAGGAGATCTTCCGCAAGGAGTAAAATCAATGATCTTAACAGCGAAAGTGACGACAGCGAGGTTGAGGATAAAATCGAATCGCAGAACAAAAGCAAAATAGTGAAAAGCGTGTTTGGCAGGGTGTTTGGAAGCGGTGAAAAGCCAGACAAAGTGAAGGAAGTGTTGAATGATTGGGTGTCCAAGTCGGAAGATGATTCGGATCTCTCAAGGACCGGTTTTAGATTCTCCGCTTCTAACGAAGCCAAGACCAAAGAGTCCTCCAGCGAGAAAAAAAGGCACACATCGTTTACCCCTTCTAGTCCCAACAAGCGTTCTGGAAGAAAGTCGAAAAAAAGTTCTTCCTCGGCAGAAAGAAGCAAAGAGACAAGTCTGATATTAGAAGAAGAGGAGGAGGAAGAGGAGGAGGAGGAGGAGGAGGAGGAGGAGGATGAAGAAGAAGAAGAAAGTCAAATGGAGCATCGTTCTTCCAGAAAACATTCAAAATCGAAAAACAACTCAAGTAACAGGAGGAAGCACGATGTAGATTACTTCTTGTCTTTACCATCTACCAAATGCAGACAAAGTAAGAAGAGGGCTGAAGAATTAATTTCAAGGACTTTCGAGGACGATTATCTGGACGCCAATTTGATTGGCAAAAGTCAAAAATCGTTGAAATACAAGGAACCAAATTATGGTTTGAGGAATCAAGGCAAGCCTGACCTGATGATCAAGGACAGTGGCTACGGATCCTTCAACTATGACGAGGATTCCTCCAAAATCGTTGCTTTGGAAGAGTCCAGGAAGATGATCAGAAGGCCAAAAGAAGGAAATTATCATGTTCCAGGAAGGGTAAAGGCAAGGGTGAAGAAGAAGGTTGGAGAGATCTGACGAATGATAGGAGAACTTCGGAGAATCCCAAGGATTTAGACGAAGACAAGGAAGACAATTTCGTCAAGGATTTCCCCGGAGCAGAACCTCTGACTGGAGGTAGGCTATCAGTTGACCTAGATTCTTCTCGTAGTTGTAGCAGTCTGGCGCCCAGTAGCGTGAGGAATAGATCCCCGAGTATGGACAGAAACTCTCAAACCACTAGAAACTCTGATATGAACGATGAAGAAGATGAGAATATCGCTCACAGACGAATATCTCCTTTCTTCGTCTGTGGGACGCCCAGAAGTTCCGTGGAGAGTAGCTCCAACAGTGAGAACGAAGAACAAGATGAGGCATTAATCGTTAACCAACCTATGACTAGAAAGAGAAGCTCAAGCGAGTTTTCTAGCGAGAAGATTGTGATCAGATCGCCCTCTTCGATCCACAAGAGCGAGGTCGTCACTATAGCACCCACCGACGCCATAGAAGACAACGCTTTAGATGTCCCTCAGGAGATAGAGGTGACGAAACCTAGACAGGGCAAGGTATTGAATTTTGACGAGGAACTGTTTGTCGAGTGTTGCTCCAGATTGAAAGCCACCACTGAAAACGAGCTCAGAGGCGCTAAAAAGATCAAGCTTGATCATAACGAAGGTTATCATAAGAAGGATGATCAACACCAAGGATTCAGAGGGCCTAAGGATCGTTGGAGGGATGTGGAGAGCCAGAACAGTTTGGGAAGTCTATTGGAATCGGTAAATCAGGTGAGTATTTGATCAGAATGATTTAATTTTTGCATGCTTGTTAGAATATATTTGTTTCGAGCAGAATTATAACAGGATATATTAAAATGTATATATGGTGAAAAACTTATTTTGATACAAAGAATATTAAAAAAATTATAAAAATGTGTTTTATAAATTAACATATGTTTTTATATTTTCTCTTTTTATATCATATATGTCATTTCTTACACATTTTTGCATGATTCCTTTCACATAATTTTTTTTTTTTTTTAATATAAATTTTTCTTGTCATCAATCAGTAATTTTAATAAAAAATGAAGTTGATTATGTATCTATTAAATATTTAAAAGATTAATTTAAAAAATTAATAAAATATTTCAAAACCGAATTTGAAATAGCTGGGTAAGTTAACAGCATATTTTTCAATATTTAAATATATAATTTTTATTCTTCGAATTGCAAATCTCTTTTAATGTATCACATCACAACAATTCTACACTTTGCATGCAAAACTTTTTTTTCTTTTTTCAAATTATTTGCTATTTCGCTTAACTATCTTATAATACGTGTTATATGTTCTAGCTAAATAAACAACTTTCAATTCACATCTACAATTTTCATTTTCTTTTATAGATACTTATAGAATTTTTATCTGTAAGGGTGTTTCTTGGAAAAAAAAACAAAATTATAATAATAATAATAATAATTTCAATAAGAGAGTAAAAATACAAACTTTTCTAATTATTTTTTTTCTTTAAATTCGAAAAACAAAATCACGTAATTAATAAATAATATATTAATTTATACACACTATCTATCAATTGGTATCAAATGGAATATTGGATATCAAATCTTTTCTGTTAACCTTATATTCTACGTTACATTTGATTAAACAATGATTCAATTATTCCTACTGAAACAAAGTTTCAATAAATTAAAATGAATTACACCCTTACATTGAATTCCAAGAAAGAGAATATTCTATACATTATTGTGGTAATGTTTGCAGGACCTATGAACCAGCTTTATACAGACAATGTCTCTCAGTATGCATGCAAAAGGTAGTTCTCTCATTCCTTTGATATTTCTTAGTGTGTATGGTAGTCATGAAACCTATCCCCTCAAAAACTATCTTTTAATGTCGTGCATAAAAAAAAAATGCAAGTAAATGATAACGAGCATTACTAAAATGATTCTTTTCACTCTGCAAATCTTTATTTTCTCTTCTCATCAGTGCTTCACATCTTTTACAAAACTATACTGCCCTATGAAAAACAAAATAATAAACCTTTGATTTTTCTTTAATACAAAAAAAAAAAAAAAAAAAAGAAAAGAAGATTCAGCTATTATTAACACAATCCATTATATATATATATATAATATAGTTTATATATGCACAAGAGCATAAAATTTCTTACTCATCCAAAAAAAACCACATTTAAAAAAGGCTTTTCTCTTACCATAGGTAAATAGAATTTAATTTGTTACTGATCAACAGTTTCTACTCTGTGAAACTATTTTGAGCTATTGTAGATACTCGCATCTTGCTTGCTGTAAAGTGGCCCATTTCACAATCCGAAATAGCATCTTTATTACTGCTCTAGATAAACATTGTTCTAGATAATGCCACCAAAATACTTTTGATTTTGGTTGGTCCCAATTCGAATTGCTCTCAAATGATTTGGCATACACTTTGCAGGAAGCAAAAAATTATTTATTATTATTATTATGGGTGCAAAAAGAGTATCCATCGAGAAACCATCGACCGTCAAATCGCTATTCAATCTGATCCATTTCCAGTTACTGGGCGAAGAGATGTACAGCACCAGAGAAAGGGATTACCAAAAGCATGGAGGTAGAAATCTAAGGAGTGAGCACTCCAGCAGATCAGCCAGTCCTGACATGGCCAGAGCAGATAATCTGGGCTACGAAGACAGTCTGGACGTTGCATTCGAGCACAACAACAAGCTCAGAGACAAAATTCAACAGCGCATGAGAGAGAGCGAGAATCTGATAGCCAGCACGTTTGGCCAGAAGAGCAATAACGAGTTGATGCGGGGTGAACGAACGTTTTCTTCTAAGAAGAATGAATTGAATATCACGAAAAATTCGTACTCTAGTCTTCAAGATCAAGGGCACATGACTGGTTCGAATCTGTCGGATGGAGACTACAATCCTTTGCACAACAGAGACCCGCAAGAGGAGAACAACGATAGAAAAATAAATCTGGAATCTTCAGGCCTTAAGGGTAAAATGAACCCTTCGTTAGGAGGTTTATTGGACAAAGCGTTATCTAACTTATGGCACAGCAATGAAAAACATGATCACAAGTGAGTAATTTTTAATGCAATAGAAAATAAAGAATTCTATCTATTGAATGATATTTTTGAAAATTGAAGTACATTATAATGAATCCGAATGGTGGTTAAAATATTTCAAATTTTTTAAATTTGATATGTTGCAAATGATTCCATTTTTTTTTAATTGATTTAATTTGGTTAAAAAATTTTTACAACAAATTTAAGCCAACCTCACAATCATTTTACACAAAAAAAGCGATTTCAGAGAATGTTAACCGACGGCAAATCGTTTGTTACATATCAAATCAAGTGTCTCTTACTGTTTTATCTCTTCCAAAAAAAATTGCAATTCATACAATCGAATATCGAATATCAAAATTTTTTATTTTTCACACCTGTTGATTGCACCCTTGATTGAATTGCAACTATATAAAATTCTTTGAAAAGTTATTTTAAACGAAACGTTAGCATATTCTACAATTGGTTTCTCGAGATTCATAATAGAAAGTCAAAATTTTTTTTCTTATTGAAAATGAATAGAATAAAATATTAATATTAATGTTAATATATTTTAATATTTTTAATATTTTCAATTGCATTATGTAATACTATTTTCCTCTTGTAAAATTAATTTTCATTTATCATCAAAAGATTATTTCCTTGCTTACTACTTCGAAGTTATTCCAATTGTCTTTTATTCAATGAATTATCAATACTTTGCAAATGTAAAATTCTTTTAATTACAATGAATGTTTAATTGAATTTCCATTTCATTATTCAGTAACACGTGCTTTACCAAAGAAAATATATTAAAATCCTCACTCTTCATAAGCATAAAATTAGAAATTAAAATCAAATAATATATTTACCACAATGGATTAAAATATTATGGCCTATACTTCAAAATAATATACTTTAAAATTTTATGTTCTTCTATAACAATCTGCATAAATCTAATTCGTGGAATATTAAAAAGCATCAAGTTTCTTCAATCAAATATCGAAATAATATTATATCTGTAAATAACAAGACGTTGGTATCTTGTTGAATGGTTTCCTCTTCGTTATGTATTGATCTGATCCCGTCACTCCACCCACTCACGACAAGATATCTCCATATAACAGAGGCGGGAATATACATTCTAATGTTCGTTATTTGGCTAAACAATAATTCAAAGTCGATGGAAACTCTTGTTGGAAGAGCATTTCTCTTACCAACTTGGCTCAGTCATTCCTTGGTTTGGAACAGGAAACGTAGAAGAATAAATATGCTTCAGGTGGTTGTAAATCTATTATCATATAGTGGCTATGTTGATATATGATTCTTATACCAGTAACAAAGTCAGATTGGATTTAGAAGTAGAAATTTCTGCCATAAAAATTTTTATATATCTATTTTCTTACTTTATAAATATAAATACCCAATTGGAATATTAAAATAATTAATAAAAATTTGAAATAAACAAAATAGTCAAGAATGTGTCACCTTAACATTATTGAGACTGGATTTAAAAATTCTAAGAATTTTGAATTTACTGTAAATTAATTCCATTTATTTTTTTAATTTACATTCCATAAATAATAATGATAAAAAAAAAAGATAGAATAGTTAAAAGAAAATATCGAAAAATGATGTAATCTTTAATAAATTACATGTTATCTTACTAATTTTCAATTTTATTTTAATTTAATTAATTACTCAAAATAAAATTATTCTATTCACAGTGGATCCACGCCAATGAAGGTTCTAGCCGAACTAGCATGTGCCCGCGCTCCAACATCCACAGCTGAGGACCCAGCTTCCAAAGAAGTGGTCCAACCTACGAAGACTTCTTTGACCAAGGATTCAGTTCCTGAACCAAGTCCTATAACTATGTCCAAAGACTTACAGAAGAAATCTAGGAATCCTATCAAAGAACTTTTCGAAAGAAAAAAAGAAATGAACGAGAGGAAACAACAAGAGAAGTCAAAAACAGATGCAGCTCTTCGAGAAATAAATATACACAAACAACGCAAAACCAAAAAGACAAAGAATATCAGGATTTTCCTTTGATCCGCCGTAATGAACATGGAGGTCTGGTTGAAAGGAAGAAACGTCGTGATGGATTTGAGAGGAAAGAAGAATTTGTCTCGGATAAGATCAAAGATATTTATGAATTTGACGAGGAGGAAAGTCAAATAGAAACTAATCTGGGTAGTGTCATGTCTTATAGGAGTAAGCCAGGATATGAAATAAATTGTTTGAAAACCAAAGAGATAGATATGAGTGGTTTAATGTCCAAGGCTATCGGAGATAATCTAGAAAATGCAAAAACTGATGATGTTTTAAATGACAGATTAGAATCTGTGATTGATAAAAAGTTCAAGAAATTGGAAAAGTTTGCTCCAAAAACGAAGGGCGCTTTGAAATCCTTCCAGAGTGAGGATCAGCAACAACAGATTACTGGACCTATGGATGAATTTGTGGAAAGGAAGCAATCAAAAGGTAAAAGGTCCGTAGAGCAATCTCTGAAGCATTCGAAATTGAAGAAACGTAACAAGAATTCTAAGAAAAAGACTAGAAATGCATGGTACGAAAATGATAGCTCCGATGAATATAGAACGGCTATAAAAGCTGAAGATATCGGTGTAGGTATTTCAAAGAGTCAAAGAACATGTTCGAAAGGAAAACAAAATATTTTTGCGGAATTATACACTTCGTCCGAAAGTGAATTTGAAGACGAAGAAACGGACTATGAATCGAGAAAACAGAGAAGAGTGAAAAAGAGCAATAAGAAAATAACTGAATTAGAAAACGTAGAACAGGCTCAGGAATCGATTAATAAATATCAAATCTCTTCCGAAGATGAAGATCATGTGGATGATTGGAGAGATGAAAATTCGAAGAATGATATCTCTAAGCATGATTGTGATAACAAAAAATCTGAGTCAGAAATGTCAGATCATCCTTTGGTTATCGACGAGAGGAAAGATATGGATGAACAAAGGAATAGCGATGATGAAACTGAAAACCAATACGAGAGGAACTTCGAAATGGATGATCTATATAGAGAAGACAGTTCAGTTGTCGATTCAGAAGAGGATTCAGCTCCTACAGAGTTATCAAAAGATCCAGAAGAATTCAGATCAAATGATCCAAATCTACCAGAAGAAAATAGTGATACTAAGAAAGATTATATACAGGAAAATGAATTGATTCCACTTGAGGAAGCCTTAGATCTTCTAGATCAAGCTGACAACGGAAATTCTGTAGGAACAAAATATGATAATGTAAACAAAATTGATAAGTCTACTGAACATGTGAACTCAATAGTAACAACAGAACCTGAAAGTGAAACATTTAATCCTAATAAAGAAGTAGCAAAGTCTCCTGTTCCTATAGATGTACAGGAGGAGGAACCTGACAATGAACTCCTAGTCTTACCTGAAAAATTATCGAGCAATGAAAAACCGCAAAAGGAATCTGAAAATCTTCCATTACATGTATTTTTAAGTAGAAAAGTGCAAGAATCAAAGAAGAGAAAAGAACAGCAACTAAAGAAAATGCAAGAAGAGCAAGAAAGGATATTAATGGATTTTCAGCCTACTAGAAGGCAGAGAAAATGTGCTATTGGCAAACAAGGATTGCTGGCAGAAATTAGTAGCTCTGATGAAGAGATGAGTTCAAAAGATAAAAAAATGAATGATAAATCAGATCATGATAAACCACGAAAACAGAAGAGAGAATCGAAGGAAAAAAGGAAAGAAAGATACATAGAAAAAAAACATGAACAAATGATAGCTAAGGAACAAAAAGCTATCGAGGAAGAAATCCTGCGAGAAGTTGGAAAGAAAAAAGAATCTCTTGCACAAAGTGTTGCAGATACAAAGACAGATATTAATGGTACCAAGGAGTCAGAGAATACGGAATCAACGGAAAACATACCAGTACAAGAATTAACACAAAAGAAAAAAGCTAAGGAAAAACAAAAAAAGCAAAATAAGACAGACGAAGATTTTTATGTTAAGAGTAATGAAGGATTGAGCGACTTAGAGAACAACTGTAACAAGTTCACGCCCATGGAGAGCAATCACGAGAATGAAAATAATCAGCAAGTTTCTGTAAAACAAAAAAAGCACTCTAAATCTTTAACAAAGCCAAAAAAGACTACGAAATTAGATCAAAAAGTGACAACAGGTAAAAAGAACAAGAACACGAATTCTGAAAGAAGGAACAGGACAGATTCGAAAGGGTCAAAGGATAAGGAACGTAGGTCTTCTAGTGGCAAACGAGATTCTGGTGATGAAGAACTGAAAACGACAAAATCTTGGAATAAGGTCGAAGAAGGAGTTGGAGTGGCTATTGGCCGACGGAAACGAGCAGCTGCCAATCAATTATATTATTGGTCGAGCTCCAGTGACGAAGAGGAAATGCTCGAAGTAGTCCCTGCAGTTGAAGAAGAAGAGGACGATCGTCAAGAGCAACACGGTTGGATCGTTGGTGATTCTCATAAAAGGATGATTACGATGCTTGCTATGGAAAAGCAGCTGAAGGAGAAACGACGGAGAAGCGAGGAAGAATTTGAGTCTGGCAGAACGAAAAGTAAAAAGCACAGAAACAGCACCTCTTGATACGTGTTTCACGATTAGATTCGTCTTAAATTATTAGAATCAAACTTGAATAATAGGCACAACTTTTGTGGCTAGATTTCTTTGACTGGAAATATGAAGGAATATAGAGTTCCTTTTTCAATGTCAGGCTCAAAATTTGAAATGACAGCATAAGAACTGCGATTCTTGATACATATTTTATAAATAGGATCATCTGAAGGATTAGAACAAGTGATTGAATACAAATTTGTTATATCAGACATAACAGAATTAGATCAACTGTAATTTTTAAAGAAGAAGAAAGAGATATAGATATAGAAAAGAAGAACAAAAAGAAAGAAGAAACATATAAGCAGCAACTTTTGATACACATTTCAGGACTTAGGTTTTTCCATTTAGAAACACTCTAAAGAATCACACCATTCTTTTTTCTAAAGACAGAACTGGATTTCTAATAACATACAAAATTACAGTCGAAAAAAAAGGACTTTTCTAAGGAGAAATAGTATAACTGGATTTTTTGATACTAGTCTTAGTCACGAAGATGAACAAAAATGGTTAGGTTTATTAAGGTAGCTAAAGGAACGTGTTAGATAATAATGAAAATCTAAGCCAGCAATTTTTTTTTCATTACAAAGATAATGAACCGAAAGAAGAAATCTGTAATTAGATCACAAAAAAATATAAAAATTTATTAAATAAAAGTATAAAAATCGAAACAATTAGGGCAAAACAGTATAGCGTAGAAAAATTATAATAGTTATTTGTATTTTTCTTCCTGTTTTTTTGTGAATATACAAAATTACGCGATTGTTATTGAAATTTCTTAAGAGTTATATTTTTCTCTCTTTTTTTTTTTTCTTTTCTTGAATTTTCTTTAATTTTATAGTTGGCGATCTTAGTTTGTAGAACGCAGCGCTGCAAATATTTATAATCAACGCTTATTTGTTCCATCAAATACGGTGGAAGTAATGTGATCTACTGCCAGAAGAAATTCCGATTTCCTTCGATCATATATAATTGTTAACAAACAAGCGAAAACGTGAATCGAGATGTGTGTCGAGTTTTAGAATGGTATAGGTCACGTTGTAACCAAGTTATGTAAGAAAAAAAACAATGGCAACTTGTACATAGCTTGGCATTAATAATAATAATTAAAAAAAAAAAGGCTAGTTCGTATTATATTAAGGATATAATTCCAAGCCCTTATAAATAATATAAATATAACCTAATTTAGACTGAATGTAAGAAAATAGCGGACATTAAAGAAAATAATAAAACGAAAAAAAAAAAAAGGAATGAGCACCTTTAGACAATACTAGGGACATTTGTAATGTTTTAGTTAACATAGCGAATTTTTAGGTGACGAAAAAAGAATTAATAGTTAATTAGAAGAAAAAAAGAAAAAATCGAAGAACGGAAGAAAAACGTCACAATTGATTTAATTTATGAAAAAGGACGATATAAACTGGGGTCCAATCGAGTAGCGTGCTTTTGCCAGCTTTTTGTGATTCGTACATATCGCGATAATCGATAAAAAGAAGAAACTATCAAGCTGTTTTTTGTGATGCGGCAAATCTTTTTTCAAAATAATTCTCGAAAAAGAGATTCATTTGGAAGGCGTTGCTTTAACGCAGTAGTCATTGAAATATATGAAATTTATGTTCTCTTTATCTCATTCGATTCATTCGAATCTTTTTCCCCCTAGATCTCATATCGCGTCATCAACAATCCAATGATGATTGCCACATATTTAAGGATAAAGCTTATAACGATAAAGGAATGATAGAAACTTTCCTTTCGTATGCCTAGTTGATGCACATAATTCTAAGTACGTAGATTTTTGTATGAGTATATATATATATTATATATATATAATATATATAAATATTCAGGACAAAAAATTAATATATATATATATAAATATGAACATAAATATGAAAAGATAATTAAATGTATAACAGAAATGATTAAAAGGAAAAAAATAATGATATAGAGTTTAATGTAAATGTACTGCCATAATCATATTATCATACAAGAGCCTATGCGAATAGATATATTAATATTATTCCTGTAAAGACGAAGAACCTGAGAAACAACAGCGACAACATGATGGTTAGCACAAAACAAAACTAGGCAACAATCCGATTGTAAATAGAACATATTTTCAATGTGTCTGGAAAAGTATGTTTTGTAATATAAGGATTGCAAAGGAAAAATAAAATTATTAAAGAATTATTTCTTATCACTTATATTTCATAAATAAAAAACCTTTGTTTTACAAAAATTAATATTCCTATATAGAAATGGAAAATGGAATTTTTATATTATTTATATTTGCATAGGATATTTTAAAACTATAATGCATATTTAAAAATAGTGATTAACAAAAAATTAATAAAATTCTTTGCTAATATATAATAATTTATAATTTAACAATTTTAACATTTTCAAATTGCTCATTAAAATTTAAATAAATTTCAAAAAAGATATTGCTATTTAATATACTTAATTATTTTTCATGACATTTAAAAAGAATTTTAAGAGAAAATAATTTATATTGGTCGATTTTAAATTCTAAATTTAAATCCCGAAAAAGCGCGGGCTCGAATCCAACACATTCATGTCCGTGACTTTTGTGCATGTAGATAAATTTTATTCTAATGAGGACAAAAAATCTTCTTAACGTATATCAGAAATGTAATATATAATTTTCATACAATGTTATAAAAACTTAATTATTTATATGTTTTAATTGTTCTTAATTATTTTGTATTTTTTATTGTTATTTCGATTAAATATTTGATTGGTAGAATTTTATAACTAAATCTATACTATTGGTAAAAGAAAAAGAGTTAACACACATATATATTTTCACGCATGTGCTTTGCCAAAACAGTGTCTCCCTTTTTGCAATGTCTGCATACATTATTAGAATAGATTGAAGTACACAAAAGCATGTATTATTAACAGCATCATTTCTTTTTTCTGAATTTTAGAATTTTTACAACATAAATTTGATATATGATATACATATATCTTAAAAAATATACATATTTTAATAATTATTTTTCTTAACGTACTTTCAAAGAATATCATACAAAATGAAACAAATTCTTTGCGGCAAAATAGGGTAAGGCTATTGAATTTAAAAAAAAAATTAATTTTTTAAGAAATTAAAATTGCTGCAATTTAAAATAAATTTGTATTAAATTTTATGTATTTAAGCCATACGTTTTGTAACTTTTAGGTTATGTTTTAATATTTAATCTAAAATCTAGTTAACTGTAAAAAAATAAAATATATTATATTTTTTTATTATCTTTTTATTCGCTATTTTCTCTTTTCATAAAATATTTTATTTAACTTCTATTCAATATTTTTTTTTTGCATGTTTTTAAGAGAGAAAGAATATAACTAAACATAAAACATAATAAAACTAAAACTATAAAAAAAAGAATAAATAGTAAAACTAAATAATAAAAAAAATAAAATTAAATAAATTATGAATATTAATTGTTAAATATTTTTTTCTACAGAGACAGGATTGTGCTGATTTCGAAGACATCACGATATCCTGTACCTCTATTTAATACAAAAAATTTAACATCAGGTAGAATGAATAAAACTTGTCGACCATTATTAGCATCACCACATATACGTTACTTTGGAAATCCCAATCGTGCATATGCAATGTTTATTGGAAGAATTTTAAAAGGAGCACTGAAAGTTCGATATCTTTTATTGGGTGGAGCAGTTGGTAGTGGAGTAACTTTGCAAAAGGTATTTAAAGTAATATCAAAAATATTTCAATAATTTACTTAGAAAATAATTATATAAATATTTCTTATTAAAGAAATATGAACAATGGAAAGAAGTTATGCCAGACATGAGCTGGTTAGATGATATATTTCCTAATGAACAAAAGTGGAAAGATATTCGCGAATCTCTTATGGTTGTTAAAAACATTTTCCCAGAAAAGATAGAATTTGGTAAGTATAAAAATTAATAAGAATATATTAAATACATGGAAACGTGAGGCAAAAAAGATTAGAGGCATAAAAAATGGACAAACATAAACAGATCCACGTATAAAACAACTTGGGGAAGCTAAATATAGGGAATACAAAGAATGGTTTAATCAAAGACTGGATGATGCTATCAAGGCAGCTGAAGTTAACCAAACTCAAGCAGGTCTGGATATTTCCTCTAATCGTGAGTTGAATGCAGGTTTTTTTTTTCTCCCCCATATTATCATATCCAAGAAAATCCTAATTTTTAAGTTACAAGCATTTTTCCATTTCTTGTTAATTTATAATTTGCCTGACGTTTTCTTGCCCTTTTAGAAATGATAATCATTTATTTTGATATAATTATTTATAATTATATTTTACAGTTTTTCGTTTTTTTCATTTTATCGTATTTCGTTATAAAAATTGATTATATACAAAATGTGACATAACTTTAATCATATTTAATATCTCTGTTATATTACTGATAATTTTAATATCGATATAGACGATAAGCATTTTTCAACAATATAAAACTCATTTTTTACTATATAAAAATATTAGGATTTCTTTTATTTATTATTTTTTTTATCATGCAATTTTTAATTATATGAGTATACATTATAATTATACACATTATAATTAATTATTGTCCTATCCTACCGTTACGAATGCTTTAAAATAAATTCCTTCTAATCGAAAATATTAAAATATAGAGATATGATTAATATTATATTTGTATATGTAATAATTATTGTATGTAATAAATGAATTAAAAAATTCCAATTTAATCTTTGAAAGTATTTAACTTGTAATTTTATGAATGAAGTTTAATTCAATTTTTTTTATATTTCATTATTTGCAATAGCTTAGAATATGAAATCATTTCGTTCCTTTCCATTGCTTGGCTGAATGTTTTCTATGTATATTATATATATATTCAATTAGAAATATATTATTATGGTCTGTTCTGTTCAGGTATATTTGACGCAATCTCATCAATAATATATCAACTTTATTCAGGTGTGTAAAATGTTCGGGATTTTTCGCATTCTATCGTCTGTCCATTCAGCTATTTTTTTTTTTTTTTATTAAATCAATTTCGGACGATCCTTATATTCTGTAAAATAGAATTCCATTTATCTGAATATATCAAAAGAAGATCTAAAATGAGATCTTTTTATATAAATTTTTACATAAATATTCATATATTCAGAAATAATATAGTATTTAATAAGTATATATTATTTATATATATACTTATTGTACATATATATTACAAATAATATAATATTTAGTATAAAACTAATATAAATTGTATATAATATGATATTAATAAAATTAATAAAGTACTCAATTAAATATAATTGAATTCATTTAATCGAAAAAAATGTAATTCAAAACTTATTATATATTCATTTTACACTTTTTACATATCTATCCATATTTTTCTTAATGTTTCAAGAATTTTTTCATTTGTAATCTTTTTTCCCATAAATTTACATTATTCCATTTTTTAGTATTGCAATGATATTTTGTAAGATATTTTTTATTTACAAAAATTATTTTCTAATAAATGGAGCTCTATTATAATAATCTTAAAATTCCTCTAAAATATAATTCATGGAAGTAACTAAAAATATAAATACTGAATGGGACAGACCTTATTTTTTCTATTTTTTTTTTTTTTTTTTTTTTTTTTAGAATTAAAATTATCTTTTCATTAATGCTCTATAAATCAAATGAATAATTAATTTTATTATAACAGATTATTAACATTTAATTTCATTTAATTAAATTATGATGTATTTCAACATTTTGCCAATTTTTAATTTTTTAAACAATATTCTAATAGTTATATTCAATGTTACAATCTTAAATGTAAATATCTTATTAAATATTTAATGTTATAATATATTTTATATCTAATAAAATTATTATACGAGTAAAATCATCAATTTTATTGCAAATAGCTTTTACATATCCTATTAAAATATTTATTCAAAATATTTCTAAACAGAAACAAAGCAACAAGTGGTGAATAATACTGTAGCATTTGCACGACCATTAGCCGATGATACTATCGAAGAGGAACGTAAGAAAGCTCGTATGTACATGTTAGTGTATTACAATTCCCTTTCTCTTCATTTCTAAAATTTATATTTGAACATATTTTCAATTCTTTTCAAAGAAAAGTCACAAGAACGATTGAGTGCTATGCAAGAGGAAGTAATGCAAATACAATCCAAATATCAACGTGAATTAGAACGATTAGAGAGAGAAAATAAAGAACTTCGAAAGCAAATGCTTCTACGTGGTAATCAAAAAATGAGCAACAAGAAAATAAAAGTATTAAGCCATAAAGTTATAAAATAGATGTATATTGTAAAATTATTTATGTATATTAATATTAATATTTTTTTTTTTTTAGAAATCTTTAATTGATATGTATAGTGATGTCCTAGATGAACTCAGTGATTATGATAGTGCCTATTCAACAGCTGATCATTTACCAAGAGTGGTAGTAGTTGGTGATCAAAGTTCTGGTAAAACATCTGTGTTAGAAATGATTGCCCAAGCAAGAATATTTCCCAGGTACTGAAAATATATTTAAAAAAATCAAATTTTATTGAAATTTCTTAATTATTATAGTCTTATTGCAGAGGAGGTGGTGAAATGATGACAAGAGCACCTGTCAAAGTCACTTTAAGTGAAGGACCATATCATATAGCTCAATTTAAAGATAGTTCAAGAGAATTTGACCTGACCAAAGAGTCAGAATTAGCTGAATTAAGACGTGAAGTAGAATTACGTATGAAAAATAGTGTTAAAAACGGTAAAACTGTTAGCCAGGATGTAATTTCAATGACAGTAAAAGGACCAGGTCTTCAACGCATGGTCCTTGTTGATCTGCCTGGTATAATTAGTGTAAGTCATTATTTTGTATTTCAAAAAATTTTATTTTTCAGTTTTATTTTAATATAATTTTTTAAGAAAGCTAAAGTTTACAAAATTTGTATTATAGACAGTTACAGTTGACATGGCAGAAGATACACGTGAGGCTATTCGACAAATGACTCAACAATATATGAGCAATCCTAATGCTATCATTCTTTGTATCCAAGATGGCTCTGTGGATGCTGAAAGGAGCAATGTAACAGATCTTGTTGCTCAAATGGATCCTAGTGGCAAAAGAACTATTTTTGTTTTAACTAAGGTATAGAAAGAAATTCGATTAAATTTAAGAGTAGAATATTAGAATATTAATATGACACATAATTGATAATACTTTGATATTGATAGGTAGATTTAGCAGAAGAAAATTTAGCCAATCCTGAACGTGTTCGCAAAATATTATCTGGCAAGTTATTTCCTATGAAAGCATTAGGTTATTTTGCTGTTGTTACTGGTCGAGGTAGACAAGATGATACTATACAAACAATCAAAGATTATGAAGAAAAATTCTTTAGAAATTCTAAACTTTTCAAGTACGTAATTCAATATGAATAAATAATTATATTAGACTTATATAATTATATATAATTTTATTTTTTAATTTTATGAATAATTCTGATAACATTAATTTTTAATTATTATCAAAATGAATCACTCATATAATATTGTCATATATAACATAATAATAAAAAAAATGATAACATTCTTCAAGAACAATCATGATAAAAAATGTTAATCATTTAATAATTACTTGATAACATTGATAACTTGATTTGCTAAGAATTAAGATTATATAATAATTTTTTGATAATCCATTTTTTTTGATTTGTGAATTCACTTTTTTAAAATCTTTATTTTATCGAATATATTATGTTATATTATCTTTCAATGATATAATTGAATTAATTACTTCTTAACTTTCAAGAATAACATTACATAAATTTTTATGATTTTTACCAGAGATGGTTTAGTAATGTCCGGTCAAGTTACGACGAGAAACTTGAGTCTCGCAGTTGCAGAATGCTTTTGGAAAATGGTTCGTGAAACTGTAGAACAACAAGCAGATGCATTTAAAGCTACTAGATTTAATCTTGAAACGGAATGGAAAAATAATTTCCCAAGGTGAACAACTATTTAATGAAATTTCGTATTTTAAATATCATATTATTATTACTTTATTTTGCACAGATTAAGAGAATTGGATAGAGATGAACTTTTCGAAAAAGCAAGAGGAGAAATTTTAGATGAAATTGTAAATCTGTCTCAAGTTTCGCCTAGACATTGGGAAGAAGTACTAATGGTCAGAATTTGGGACAAAGTTAGCATGCACGTATTTGAAAACATTTATTTACCCGCGGCTCAAAGTGGAAGTCCAAGTATTTATGTTATTTCACAATAATTTTATATGATTTTCTCTTATAGATAATTAATATTATAATTACTATTATAATTATTTTTCTTTGTTATAGGCACATTTAATACTACTGTTGATATAAAACTTCGTCAATGGGCTGAACAACAATTGCCAGCTCGAAGTGTCGAAAGCGGTTGGGAATGTTTACAACAGGAATTTCAACATTTTATGAACCAAGCAAAACTCAGTCCTGATCATGATGATATTTTTGATAATTTAAAAAATGCAGTAGTCAGTGAAGCTATGAGACGACATTTTTGGGAAGAAAAAGTGAGTTCACTAAATAAATAGTTGACATAATTATAGTGAAAATTATTTTGAGAAATTTACATTTAAAAATTAATATTTAAGAAAAAATAGTTTTTTTTATATATTTTTGTATTCTCCTATATTAGATTGAATTTAATTTGAAATAATTTATAACAATTAATTTAAAATAATATGAAATTATATATTTAGTTTTATTTTTTATTAGATTTACATATCTATGATTTTCAGTTCTTCGAGTATTTATCTTCTTTTTCTTTCTATTTGCATGTGAAAAACTTTTCATTAGGCATCTGAAATGTTACGAGTTATTCAACTAAATACTTTAGAGGATAGAAGTGTAAATGATAAACGTGATTGGGATCAAGCAGTCCGTTTTCTAGAAACTTCGGTTAAAGAGAAATTGCAAGCTACAGAACAAATTTTACGAGATATGCTAGGTCCAGGTCGCAAGGAACGATGGCTGTACTGGCAAAATCAAAGTGAAGAACAACAGAAACGTGTAGCAGTGAAGAATGAATTAGATAAAATTCTCTATGCAGATAAAGTAAGAAGATATAAAATATTTTAAATAATAATAATAATAAAAAACGATTTATGTATTTTTATACAGAAACACACTCCTACTCTGACTCAAGATGAACTCACAACCATTAGAAAAAACGTGCAACGAAATGGTTTAGAAATCGATAATGAATTTATTCGAGAAACATGGCATCCGGTGTACAGAAGATTTTTCTTACAACAAAGTTTAGCTAGAGCATATGATTGCAAAAAGGGATATTATCTTTATCATACTGGTCATGAAAGTGAAGTAAGTATGCATAATAATACAATGATAGAAAAATTTTTAGATTTTTTTAAGTAAATAAATTTAATTAAGTAAATTATTAAATAATTATTTTAATTTCTTGAAAATTATTTATTATTTCTTTTTAGATGGAATGCAATGATGTTGTTTTATTTTGGAGAATTCAACAAATGCTCAAAGTTACTGCTAATGCACTTCGACAACAAATCATGAATCGAGAAGCTCGTAGATTAGATAAAGAAATAAAAGAGGTATTAGAAGATTACAGTCAAGATAGCGAAATAAAACAAAAATTATTGACTGGTAGACGTGTCACATTAGCTGAGGAATTAAGTAAGTTCATTAAAAATATATGCCACAATATAATTATATTAGATTTCATATAAATCTATATTAAACAACAATATTAATTTGGTTCTATTTCATTCACTTTAGAACGTGTCAGACAAATTCAAGAAAAATTAGAGGAATTCATCCAAGCATTAAATAAAGAAAAATGAAGAAATTTATAATCTAGAAATCTAAACTCATGATACTGTGGTATGTAATAAGTGATAATGAGCCCTGGTGGCTGTAAAGCGCGAATGCTTAGATATTAATTTATTTTTTCGTTAATTAAGCGACAATGTAGAAGACTACTAGTCAGATTTTATGAGATATGGAACTGTTATATATTTAAAAGAAGTGATTTGATACATGAAATTATAGTTCGATTATTATCATGAAAATTATAATCGATTACATGATCGTGATTTTAATCACTATATTTTTATTTCGTTCACTAAATTTTGTTCACAAATATTTTTGTCCAAACACAAATGCAAAATATTGTTAGCTGCCATTAATTAATTGAGCGAGAAAATTTAAAAATTATTGCTTCAAAATATTGAATGGGATATACATGACACATGGAGTGTAGATATTCCTAATATAATTATAGAAAAATAATTTTCATTGCATTTTGTATATATATTTCATTTTTACATACAGAACGAATGAAACGAACATACGTTTTGTATGGATAGGTAAAGAACGAAATAAAGAAATTAAAACTAAATTTTTGGTGTCCACAAACATTATTTTAAGTAGAAGTAGTGACAATTTCTTTTTTTTTTTTTCTTCCTTCATTTTTAAGATATGTTTTACTTAAATTAATATCGACCGAAAATATTTAATGATAAATTCACAAATATTTTTTTAATATATATATCTTTTTTGTAATGTAAGTTTTATGAGTGCTTTTTCTCTGAAAAAGATCATTAAAATATTCAATAGAATAATTTTTTAAGTACTTATAGAATTGAAAATGTGCATTTGTACAAAAGTAACTAGAGATTATTAAAATACATGTTCTATGCCTAATTTTTGTTCTCATGAGTACAATGTGTTTCACGTCGAGATTTATCTCTATTTTTCGTTAATTAATAATAATAGAGATTATAATGCTGATTTTAAATATATCACAAAGTTATAAATAACACGGTAGAAACATATTAAAAATATTATTTTCTTTTTTAATTGACGATGTAAATTGCTAGGTCAATCGGAAAACTACTTTGCGTCATTCTAAATTGATTTTTTTTTAAAAATCTAGAATATTAGATTCAAGATAAAATATACCCTATTCTCTGGTCCGAATGTCTGATAAAGTATTCAAGTTTGTGACGCTTCTTTATGCTAAAGTATAATTTTCTCACGAAAATCCACAAGATTATATTATGAAAACACTTATAAAATTCTTTTATTATTAGGAAAAATTTGTTCTAAATTAAATTATCGTTTTACCAATCATCTTTTACGATGATTAATTATGTTGCTTTTAACTATGCAAATACATCAACGACACAATTTCAATAAATTTATATTTTTCATTTCTGCCTGTCATCAATATTAATATCATATATACTTGAGTACTTCATTTCATCAAAAAACATGAGCTACCATATTATATTTTTCAGCTATCGCAGTCGATATAAAATTAAATAATCATATACATACATTTGGCAGGAATGTTTTTCTCCTCATTATTTACGGTACATTGATTCAGAGTTAGGCAGGATTCTATCCATTAAGCAATATGAATGATTATAATAATTAATCCTGAAATACTAAAATGGAACATCGCATTCCCCAATAATTTTATTGTAAGTGGTGATAGATTTCTATTATTTATGCTTTTCAAGAATAATATAATTTTGTATAATTTTATGAAATCAATATTGTATCACAGTTTTTTTACCATTTGTACTTCTTATATTAAAACTTTCTAACAAACAGCATTCCATTATTGGAATCTAATGCTCCATTTATCATATTAAATGATTAATAAAATTACAACTCAACTCTATACTTATTTTTATGATTAAAATACATTATAGAATAGCATTTATATTGCAGAGTTAAAATCGAATAATGCCTAACTCCGTGATACATTTATTGGGGTCGATAAACCAGCAATAAATAGCGTAACACGTTTATAAATAAGGACTGTACCGATATATTGTTCTATGTATAAACATTATATGTATGTATATATATATGTATATATATATATATGTACAATTATTTGGTAATACATCATTGGTAACGCGCAATTGGCTGCAAAACAAAGAGGAAAAAGCGTTTTCGTAAATAGACAAAATAAAGCATATTTTCGTCTCTTGCATTGCAACATCATGTATCAAATCTTTTAATATTACGACATTGACTTGTTATATCTGAGAAAAAATGAGCATATTGTCCAATAATCAGAACAATGAGAAATTTGTACAGTAAAAGAGGAAAATGCTCATTTGTAAAACTAGATCCTTTTCTTTTTTTTTCTTTTTTTCTAAACTCTATTACGATTTTGCAATTTTTATATTCCAATTCTTCTTTCACTTCAATTAAAGAAGAAATTTTTGAATACTTTAAGAAAGCTCAGCACATAAAATTGAAGCAAGAAATAATACATATGTATACATTAATGATTATTTTATATTTTTCTTAAGCTTAAAAAATTAGATAAAAAAAATACTATTTAATAGAAAACAATCCATATAACAGGGTTAAATATAATACTAACAGTACGGAGCAATCTTAAAGTGTGCCCTTGATTCTTTTCTGTAAAAAAAAAAATTGATTATGTTTTCACCGCGTTACTTGTATCCTGCACATCTGGGATTAGGTCAATAGTGCCATCATTTTGTTCTATCTCTGCTGTATTATAACCAGAAAAAGAACATGCAGGTGCACTTCTAGCTGTGGTCACCGAAGCTTCTGGAAGTAGGGAAGTACGTTCCGTTGCACTTCCCCAGGCCTGTTGATAAGCGCTTCGACCACGTATTCTACGACTTAACGAGGATCCTACTACTCCCAAGTGTTCTTTTATATCATTGTGAACGTCGGAAACATCCCACATAGCCCTGAACATGTAAAGTATATTTTTTTTATAAATACAATCAAAAAATAATAAATTTTTATTCTGAAAATATAAGAATTTTTATAAATTAATTTAACTTTTTAGCAACAAATAATTGTAATCACTTGAAATAATGAAAGAATAAAGTTATTAAAGATTATAAAGAATATGGAAGAGAAGTGGTAAAATATTTGATTTACCTGAATGCATCCCACCATGCTTGACCCTGTGCTAAATTTACAAAAGGTTTGTATGAAAAGCTGTAATGGTGAGCCACCGCGGCCATGAACATTTCAATACAAATTAAAAAATCCTGCAACTTCGACGATATATTTCTAATGTCCTTTATATCGTTTGTATTAAAAATACTTGATATCACATTGAAATATACCAGTAATGCAATAATTACACCTTGACTGAAAATCAAATTATGTATTTTTTTTAAATTATTAAAATATATTTTATTTTATTATTATATTTTATATATATTATAATAAAATTATATAATATCTTTAAATAATGAAACTTACAAGAAAGAGAAGAAAACGACTGCTTTGATACACAAAAATTTCCCGATTGGTTTCATTGGTTTTAAAGCTTCCGCATTGGCACGATAAAATAGCACCAAACAATACATGGCAACGAATTGCGATAAATTATTTAAAGCAATCATATATGGGAAAGCTACATCTGTTCTAAATTCACCTTCACCATATACTCCGTTTAATTCACAAATACTAAAAAGAAAAAAAATGACTATGAACAACTTTATAGCTGCAATTATACATATTTTGAATATATAAAATTAACTCTGTTAGATATTTAAAATTGAATACATGCATATTAGAATATATATATATATTTTTTTTTTACGTAAATATTTATTTTTTACGTAAAAATATTTTTATTTCTTATATAATGCAAGAACGAATATTTGTTGTATAATTTTAAGTTTAATTAATTACTATTTGAATTTTAAATCTTTTATATAAGATATCCCAGAATGAGTAGTATATAATTGAACAGAAAGTTATTTCATAAGTAAAAATAAATTAAAAAGTAAAATAAAATTCTTTTATTTAAATGTTTTCGAAAAAATAGAAATTGAAATTGTTATCTATAGATTGAATGTACACGAATTTAAAGATTTTTCAATCTTGATCTCTTCTAAAACAAAACTTTTAATTTTTAAGAAAAAAGAATTTCGCTCTTTTTTAATTTAATATTTCCAACTAAGGTGTATTGTTCATTGTAAGATATCTTACGATGTATACGATACGTACAAAGATATCAAAGTTGTTATAGGTCTAACTGCAGTGTATTGCAATATTCCGTGCTTGCACATATGTACAAATTCCCTGCCCATTTCCCAATCAGGTAAACAGCACAGAGGGAACATGTGATGAACTTGAGGAGAGATTTCAAGTCTATGTTCTAGCTGACGATCAGCATCCAAGTAGGCCAATAAATACATCATAAAATTGTATATTACATATGCCTCATAACACTCCCTCAAACTGTCAACATATATACTGCCTTCTGGATAAACCAGTCCAAGCCACTGCATAAATTTCGAAAGTATTTCAATTTAAAACAAGTGAAGTACCTTAATAGACAATTTAGATAAGAATGGAGATGTATACCTACAGCATTCACTGCATAAATTGGTACCATCCATAATATTCTGAAATAAAAAACAAAATTAATTGATTTTAAAAAAGTTATATAATTCTAAAATATCCGGTATATGACGATTAGATCGATATCAATATAAAAAGCATGAAATAATAGACAATTATTTAAACTGAGAAAGAAAAAAGATTTGGTTGATCATTTGATTGATTGATAATACTTAAAAATTATTCATATTATTTTTGAGAATATAAAAAGTATTAATATAAAGAGAATATAAAATATACAAGAATATATAAGGATATCTAAAAGAAATGATATAAATTAATTGGAAAAAAAATTCAGTTTTTAATAAACTATTCAATAAAATACAATAAAACCTTCATAAAATATTTAATACATATTAAAATTAAAAATTCTTAAATGGATATATGAACTTTGATTCGTTTTATCGTTGTGCTATAATCGTATCATATTTCTTTGATTGATTTAAACTGTGTAGTATTGTAATTAAATATGTAATTATAATTTTTTTTTTTCAATGGAAAGTTCATTCGCTATCGAATAAATTTAATATAAATAGTATATGTATTAAATATTATTCATTATATTCAATATTATATATTGAATATAATTAAAATATTCAAAATATTCATTATATATTGAATATAATTCAATATATAATATATAATATATAATATATAATATTGAATATTGAATATAATTCGATATTATTTTAACATTAGGAAGTAATTCCAATATAAGATTTAGTTAACTTTTTAGCAATTTTTTGAAATTAAAAATTTATAGTTTGAAGAAGAAGTAAATGCTGTCTCTGCTTATATCAATATTTCTTGACCTTTAGTGTGTCGAAAGTCAATCAATAATTACAATCAATAATTCTTTGATTTTAAAAATTTATAAAAAAAAATGGAAATTGAAAAAATATTTTTATATATAAATATTAGTATGTATATATAATACAATAATAATTATCATACAAATATACATATATTTGTATGAGTGCAAAAAATTTAAATAAATAAAAATAAAAATTAATAATTAATTAAAATTAACAATAAACAAATATTTATAAACAAAATTTTGAATATTTTATTTAATATTCAAAAATAAAATTTAAAAAATGTTATATATTAAACAGTATCTATTACATATTTAATATTACATATTACATATTTTAATAAATATAGTATTCTATATTTCACAAAGAAATCATATATAATTTGTTTTGACATGTATAATATGATATAGTAGATTAGTAAAGATTATATATCTATAAATATCATCAGAAAATTATGATGCAGTTAAGTTTTTTTCTCAAAAATATGAATTCCAGAATATTTTTTTAATATTTTTCAATATCTTTTTAATATTTTTACTTGCTGCAAATAGATTTTAATGAATCATTTTATTATTGTTTATAACAATTTTATTTATTTAAATTGATAAATTTAAAAATACAAATACTATAAAATAATAAAAAATCAACTAATATTAAAAATCAACAATAATTTTAAAGATAAGTGATATAACATACCTTATAATATATTTTTGCAGTCTAGGCTGTGTATAATATATCATGTGTTGCACAATTTCATAGAAAGCAATGGGTAAAGCAAGCAACACAAAGGCACCACCCACAAGTGCTCCTTGATCTTGCTTTTTAAAACCATTTTTAATGGAGTTTGCCAATAAAATTGGTACTAAAATTATGATAAGAAGTGCATAGAGACAAGTTAGAACTGGTAAAATCCATAGTCTCCAGCGGCGACAAATAGAAGCCATCACTTTTCAGAAATTCAAGAGAATGTCACATAATTTGTCCAGTCAGTTCACAGGAACCTCTGGAAAACCACAAACAACAAATAATTTTACATAGTACAACATTATTTTCTCGGTTCATATCACAACGTAAATTAGGTTATGATAAACCTAACTAATGATCTTTGACAGGGAGAATAAGTTAACGTATTATTTAAGCACTTAAAAATTTGACATTTATATCGAAAATTAAAAAAAAATCAAGAGATTTCACTATTTTACATGATTATAATTTTATGATAATCTATTAAACAATCACTATGATCGTATAAACATGGCAAATGGCGTAGCACAATGATAATAAAGTAATAACAACCTTATTAGACACGATGAATCAACGATAAACCGACAAGTCAGCTGATGATGACAGTAGGAAGGAGGGAAACTACCTTTTAACCCTCTCGCTTTATATTATGCGATTCAGAAATCGCGTATATATCAATTTCAATTTTTTTACATTGATTAGAATCTTATAAGTGCACTAAGAGCAATTCTCGATCTGTGAAATTGTTAAAAAAAACATATTTTGTAAATCGAGATGGATTATTTTCATGAATACAAAGATTCCTTCAAAAGAGCACGATATTCTCATGATTTCAATGATTAATTATTAAATTATTATTCAATTTATACTATGTTGATTATAAAATGAAATTATATTCAAAACAATACACTTTTTTTATAGTGATCGAGTGCGTGTAACGATTGATGTAATTTCGACTTTTTTTGAGTTTTATTTGTTGAATGGCAATTAAACTCAATCTCCGGAAGTAAAGAATTTCTGACAGATGATATTTAGATTTGAAAAAAATCAATCTATTTATTTGATTTTAGGTTATAAAGCCAAAACAATTATATAAAATTCCTTTATTGCATTCATATAAATATAATAAAAAAAATGATTACTGATGAGAATGATAAATTGAAATTATCAGGTAAGATACATTAGAATAAGAAAAATTGTTAGTGTTTTTTGGTAGATAATATTGGTATTGGTGAAAGATTCGTGTAGGCAGCTGGGGAAGGGTACATCCGTTCTAATGGCGTCAAGACCCAAGCACTGTTGTCACATTTTGTCCTACAGTGTTTCAATATTTTGCTTTGTTTATGTCGGTCAAGTTTTCCAAGAAGGAGACGAAAAATCTACGCAGACTTGTGAAGGTTGGTACAGAGAAGTTAAAGAAGGCTAATTTTTCGGTTAAAACGCAAATCAAAATCTGAGTAAAATTTTCCGAGAGCTCCGGGTGTAGTGACCTTGATTCCGCTGTCATTTCTGTAATGCATAAGCGCGCGAAATTTAAATTTGCTCGATTTACATTTTTCAGATAGATCAATAGATGTATTAAAATTTATTTAATTATATTAATTCGATATTATTATATATTTTTTTTAATGAAACTGTTTTATGACAGAATTTATTTATTTATTTTGTTGATCCTTTGTAAATATATTATTTCTATAAAAATTATTTATATCCTTATTATTATTAGAAATAATTTTTTATTAAAGAAATAATTATTTATATATTATTACTATTATTATTACTATTCATATTATTACTTAAAAATTTATCTTTTTTTTTACAGTCACTAAAAGCTAGCTTTTACAGATGGCAAAGAAATAATTCTGGAAGAAATTTTTTCATTCCATCAGCAGCTAAAATAGATAAACATGGAAGTCACAACGGAAGAAGCACAAGCAGTGCTGCTAGAGGGAATGGAAGGGGCACAATACATTACTATTCAAAGGGCTGATGGAGAATCTTTAAGCAAAAGTGTTCCTCTTTTAACTCTTAATGGAGAATTAATTTCTGAAGGAATGGTAGTTGATATGATTAATGCTGGTGTTGGTACAGATTATGGAACAGCAACTCAATATTATGAAGCAGAAGATTTGTTACAACATGAACTAACAGAGGTAATTTATTTATTATAACTTAGCAATATAATAATAATCATATATTAAAACCTGATTTGTATTTTTGCAATAGGAAGATCGAAGACTAGCAGCAGCTTTAGTTGCTGTTCAATTACAGCAACAGCAGAAACAACAACAGCTTCATAGTCAAGCCCAACATGAAGATCCAACTTTACCAGATGTTTCTCATTTAGAGACTTTAACACCTGTAAACACATATTCTATTCAAACTGTCCCAGAACCAAATGCTCCTCCCGTGTATCCAACATTGCAACCAACATTTAAACGAATAACGCATAATGTAAAACAGGAATATATAAACGTAAAAAGTGAATGTGATGTTGATATGTCAGCTGAAAGTAGCGAAGATGCGGCACCTAGTTCCGGACCGAAAAGATCTTTACCCCACAAAAAAAGGATTCCTCGTAAATTAAAACAACAGACCAAAAGAAGTTCAACAAGAAAAGATAGCAATAGAATAAATGCGGATGGTATGAATGCAGATTCTTCCGGTGATATGCAGGCTCATGTGTTCAAATGTGAACTATGTAGTTCCAGATTTAGTAGTCAATTAAAATTTTTTGAGCATTTAAAAGTACATTATGAGCCTGTAAAACAAGAAACAAGAATAGCACAAGCAACTAATACGAATATCACGATATCTGTGACGGAATCTGTTCAGAATCTCGAAAATACAGTAATTGAAGAATTCAGCGAGCCTGAAGATCTTATGGAAGGCATTAGAGGTGTTGGTAAGTATAATAATCATTATATTAACATAAAAATAAGAAAAAATATGAGAGAACTAGTCAAATTTGAAATATTATATATATTATATATAATATTATATATAATATTATATATATATATTAGAACTTGTAATTTGTGATCAATAATTTGAGAGTATACTTATATTCAAAACAGGTTTTTATCTATTTTTCATCACTTTGTTCCTATATCATACACAAATATTAACCAATATTATTTTATTTATTTTCAGTGGAAGAGACAGGTGCTCATATAGATGATGAAACAGAATCACCATTGAACAATGATTCACCATTATGGACAATTACTGATGTTACAAGTCATGTACACAGGGACCATGTAAAACCATCAACTGTTAATGATCAAGGCATTCATGATAAAGATAAGACTGACATTCCACAAACAACAAAGAAAAAAAAAATTCTGAAAACTAGGAAGACAAGTAAGCATATTCAAAGATTTCTTTTATTAATTGTATTTCAATAAAATTAATTCATTTTCACAGATGACGAATTATCATGTCCCCAATGTGATCGGTCATTTCATCATAAAAATAGCTTAGTGTATCATATGCGATCTCATAGTGGTGAACGACCGCATCAATGTGAAGTTTGTGGAAAAAGTTTCTTTGCTGCTAGTGCGTTAAAGGTAAAAGATTTTTGATCCAATTTTTGTTTTTAATATATTTTTAAAATTACATAGTTCAATTGTCCAAAATTTAGGTTCATAAACGACTTCATAGTGGGGACAAACCGTACAAATGTGAGGAATGCGGTAGACATTTCCGACAATGGGGAGATCTAAAATATCATTCGACCAGTATCCATTCAGAACAGAAACAGTATCAATGTGAATATTGTGGCAAAGATTTCGCGCGGAAATACTCGCTGATTGTTCATAGAAGAATTCATACCGGCGAAAAAAATTACCGTTGCGAATATTGCAACAAAACGTTCAGGGCAAGCAGTTACTTACAAAACCATCGTCGTATACATACGGGAGAGAAACCACATCAGTGTGCGGTGTGTGGAAAACCGTTCAGAGTGAGAAGTGACATGAAAAGGCACATGCATACTCACTCTAGAGGAAGGACTGAGAGACCCATGAATAGAGTCATAACAGGAAAAAATATTGAAGAAGATAAAGGTTCGCAAGCGAAGACCATTCAAGATCTGGTTCGTGATCTAAAACTTGAAGTAGAACCAACGGGGGTTGTAGAAATTGTACCTCCAGATGATAATCCTGAAAGTATCCTCCCACACGCAGGAGGACAAACTTTAGAATATACAGTGACTACGGCTCCAGATACAAACTCTGACAGAGATCCGTTAGAAGCAGTCGTTCGTACAACCGATAACATGTAAGTTTATCTACTTCAGTTTACTTTATTGTATTCAAGTTGCAACAATACTATAGTATTTGAATTATATAAGTAATTATTTTATTTTTATTTTTAATTCAATTTTTTTAATTTCTTGTTTGAATATTGTTTCAAATTATTATAGTGTACCAAAAAAGTACTATAAAAAATATTTATTTTTATTATATTTTTATTTTTACAGGCAGTATTTCTTCATGTAATATTTGTTGGAAATAAAATGGAACGTTGGTTTCGTAATAAAAGGATAAAAAATCTTTCGCACAAAAATGGCGTTTGTGGAATTCAAGATTTTTGTCCTGAATGACTGAATTGAAAGTGCTATATATGACAACGCACTGCCTATGCAATGTGCATAAACATACTTTCCAGTATTTCTGCAAATTACTTTTTAAGGGAATGTTACAAATGTAACGTTTAAAATATTATTCTTAAGACTGTTTTTCAGCAGAGAACTCGGAAAAGTATAACTATATAGGGGCAAATTCT